CCATTTAATCAACATAAGTGAAGTCTCACACTTATGTAGGAGTAGTATTTTAAATAACCTTTTCAGATCATTATGGATGGTCCTCTTTAATGCTAAACTAAAACTACACACATGGTAGTTTGTCAAAGTTATTTGCAAAGTGGACCTGAGACAGATCACTGAATATTTCCTATTACATTAGAATCCAAAGCCTGTTTTGCACACTGAATGTCTCTGTACTAATGTAAGATTTTAAAAAAGTAATACATTGTTTCAGTAAGTTATACAGATCTTCCAATGTCATTCATTCTTTCAAGTAAAAACAGTATTCCATAAAAAAGAGGGTAGTTCAGTTCACACAAATTATTTCACATGGGACACAGTACTTTGAAATGTAGCAGAAGTGCTTTATGTGTACGTCCCATGTCATCATAGAAGATATTAAGGATGAAGACTTAGGAACGATAATTTTAATGCTTCATCCAGGACGTTTTAAAGCAAACCTTATTTTTGCCCTGCAAAAAGTTGTGAAAATAATTACTACTACAGTTTGCTTCCGTAGTCTCCATTACTTTGAAGCTGTACTGTACCTCAAAGCAGATGTCAACATAGTGAGGAAGCAAATAGTATCTTAGTAATGCTCTGAAAATAATTTTGACTGGGCATCTGACTGACTCTCACCCATAGGGAAGGCAGACTAGAGCGAGGATACAGCTGTATCTGGACAGAAGTAGTGGTCGCTGTGTTAGCACAGGGAGAGGTTTGGTGCATTGTGAGGGTTGCAGTGCCAGCTTGTTTGGTCTGTCCTTAGACAGAATATGTCATGGTCTTGTCTTGTCTTGTCTTCCTGTATCATGGTCTCAGGTGTCCCTGTCTGACGTTGATGTTCTGTGAGATGACTTATGTCAACGGCAGAATAACCTGGCCGAGTAGGGAGCATCAGCCCCGCTTCCGACAACACTGAGGCCCGTGTAAGTGTCAGACCAGTTCCTGTGGGCAGAGGCTGCTTTGTGCATCTTGAATTCAATATTTTAAAATAACTACATCCAAAAAAGAAAAAGAATATTAAAGAATGATTTGGAAAAGAAGAAATGCTATATGAACATATTAGTAATAAATGTAAACAAACATGAAAATGTGGAATAAGAAATGGGAATGAATTCAAAATCTATCATCTTTGCAAAGATGAAATGAATGAGGGGAGGACTGACAAGAAATGAGGGAGAACAGACTGTTGTAAAGACTGATGAGATTGAAAACTGGTACAGAAATCTTAAAGGTCCTTTTGCAAAATGTCTCAATAATTTCAATATGTTAACACTGAAATATAGACATTTTTCTTTTACAAATTTATCCTAAGAAGATAATCACACATGTTCTCCAAAATAGATACTGAGGGATACATCTTGAATCGTGGTTTATAGAAGCAAAGAGTGGAAATAATCTAAATGCTACAATCACTGTAAAGATGGTCACTATGAACAGAGGAGCACTGACTATGTCTCAGGCAGTCATTCCATGTGATTTACATACAGAGTCAAATTTATGCCTCAAACCCATGAGGCACCCAGCCTGTGATCCCTTTGAGCAGACAGGGAAAGGAGACTCAGAGAGGTTAAGTAGCATCTATTTCGAGGCCACCTTGCATCAGGATCTGGAGACATCGGAGAAGAGCAACAGTTAAGCCCCAGGTGATGGGCGATAGGCTCTGCTGTGCTGGAGAGGGACAGAAATGACTGAGACAGATGCACATCACGACTGTCCAAAGTGCTGTGAGGAAGAGCTCATGATGCCATGAGAGCAGATAACAGGAGTCCTGACAGGTCCCCTGCTGCTGTTATCAATAATATCTGAAAGACAGAAAGGATAAATGGAATATGAAACAAAAATAGAATTCTATACAGTTATATACAGTCATAGAATGAAAAAGAATTCTTGGGATTAAAAATATGATCATAGAAATGAATAATTCCATAGATGAATTGGAAGTTTACAGTCATGCTCCCAGTAAGTAGATGGAAAAGTAATGGCAAGGAGGAGAGAGGACCTGTAAGAATATGTCTGTCGGTCACAACCTTCCAACAAGTTACAAATACAAGTTTC